AGGGGTGTGATTTTTACATTTTATTGTGATAGTTGTCCTAATTGCAGTGGTCACCCACCATTGAAATCTACTAACACCCAGGTGTCCAACACGCTAGCCACATAAGGCTATTTAGAGCTGGTTGAGTGTGGCTAGTTGGCATGAATAACGCTGCTCTTTGGCCGGTTGAATGTAGCTAGCTCGCTATAGCAGTAGCTGCTGTAGTGACTACTGCTTCAGAACTGGTTGGACACCACAGTACTAGTAGATTCTGGAGCTTCTGACAGGCGAACGTGACTAGTTTGGCCTGCAGGCTATCAAATGCCAACACTTCAGGTACTCCTCCCCCACTGCTATGCTTCTGCTCTGCCTCATAGCTAGGGTAGTGACTGGTTAATCAGCAAGCAAATCCAAATTTAACTGGGTTAAATAATAAAATGGGATTTTACATCCTTACTTGGAGCAGCCCCTCAGGAGCCACCTGCTTGCTGAGCAGGGTAGGGAAGGCAGGGTGGTGGTGTGCTGATGTTAGGGTGTCCCCCTCCCACTGTATCCCATCTCCACAGAATATGCAGGGATGGGGCCTTGGAGAAAAGGGATAGGGAAGAAGATGGGACAAGGGTATTTGGATTTGAGGTAGATCTCAGATTGACTTAAATTAAAAAATGATCTTGTGCTTGAAAAGCACTGTCCTCATGAATTGCTAACCCCAGTTGTCATTTGCATCACACCTAGGACAGCTGGAGCATAATGCATGAGCATCTACTGCATGAGCTAAAAGACTCCTCTCTCTTGGCAGGTGGAACAGACTCATTGGTCTCTAGTCACAAGAGGGAGATAGTGTCATATCAAGCTGGCCTGGGTTACACTAGATATAATTGCATCTATACTATGGATTATAGTGTGTTAAAGGTGTCTTATACAAATATAGTTTATTCCCTTTCCTAGGTGAGATTAGCTATACCGGTACGAGGCACCTTTTATAGTGATATAATTGCATCCGCACAACAGGTTGTTTGAACTACTTCAGTGCAGTTAAAGCAGCACAACTTTTTAGTGTACAGAAGACCTTGTTGAGATCCCCAGATTGAAAAACCCTGTTTCAGATAAACACAGTTGTAATGCAAACAGTAAGTGAGTAAAACTGGAAGCTTCATGTTTAATACATTCTGCCCCAAAGTGCTAAACAGCTTTTGTCTCTCGGTGGGGTGGATGAAAAGTGACATATTGAACTTTTGAATTGTAAGGATTGGTGGAGCTAGGAAGAAAAAAGTTTGCTTACATATTTTGACATGGTAAATAGAGGCAATGTCCTCCTAACACATAACCTAACATGTTGCCAAAGGGTGATAAGTAATAGGCAACATGAATAAGTCAAGAACAAATAATTTCACGTCAACTTAATTCTTTAACAGGGTTACTGGCCTAGTTGAGGATAGAGGGGCAGCTGTAGATCTAGATTTTTGTGAGGCTTTTGACACTGTTCAACATGACATTCTCAAGTAAACTAAGGAAAGTGGACTAAGTGAAATTACTATAGAGTGCTGCACAAGTGGCTGAAAAGTTGAATTCACAGAGTAGCTTTTTATGGTTGTCTGTCAAACTGAAAGGATGTATTTAGTGGGAGTTTCAAGGGGTTTGTCCTGGGTCCAATACTAATCAATAGTTTAATTTAATTTAATGCCTTTGATAATGGAGTGAAGTGTGTTTAGGGACACCCAGGCCCTCCCTGATCATTTTAGGTTCATCAGTGGCTGTTATCCATCACACATTGATTTATCTAATTCTCTTTGGAGCCTCAGTCCACGTATACTTTTGGCCTTTACAGCAACCTCTGGCAATGAATTTGAGAGATTGACTGTGCGAAGAAGTGTTTCCTTTTGTTTTTAACCTGCTACCTATTAAAATTTCATTGGGTGACTCTAGGTTCATGTGTCTTGTGAATGGGCAAATAACACTTTCATTTTCACTTTCTCCGCACCATTCATGATTTTGTAGACAGTATTCATGATTTTGTGGAATAAATTTGTTAGTCTTTAAAGTGCGACCGGACTCCTCTTTGTTTTTGCTGATACAGTTACCCCTCTAAAATCTTTACATGTGTGAGACAAATGGCTAATAGGGCTATGTAGCAGTGGGTCCTCTAGTTCCACAATCTTCTTGCACCCCTTTCTCTTCCCTCCCTACCCTCCGTGAAATCTCCACTATGCAAGTTGTCTTTTGTTTGCTGATAACTTGCATCACTGTATGGATCCCCCCATTCTCACCCATTTGGCCAGCAGAATACTAGTTTGACTGCGAGTTTTCTGTAGTTGCAGAGAAATGGATCAGACTGTCTCAACTTCTCACCCATTTGGCCAGCAGAATACTAATTTGACTGAGAGTTTTCTGTAGTTTCAGAGAAATGGATCAGACTGTCTCAACGATGTGAACTTCTGGAACTGAATTCTCTGCCATCAGTTATACATGCAAACTGTTTAAAATTCTACTAAATCAGAAAGGTAGCATTTTATGCTTGCTTTGCACAGGTGTAAGGGACTGCACAAGGTGCATGGGAAGTGGGAACTTAGATCCCCTTGCTGCCATTTCAGTGAATGATAACTGTGGAGCTTCTCCCCCATACAGGATTAGTATTCATGTGGTGTTTTTCAGATCTCCCCACTTTTGTCTCAGTAATTAGCTAACATATTGTAAGTTTTACCTAAAACCTGAAGCTTCATATACTTAGTTTAGGGAATGCTATGCTAACATTTTGGGCAACTGAAATATATGGTGGTTTTTTAAGGGTGACTGGAACTCTTGGGGGTATTTACTTATGTCTTTTCTGCCTGCTTCAAACGGCATGTACTCTGAACTAGAGATATAAGAGTGTAACCTTTTAAACAGTTAACCGCCAAGTATCAGCTTAACGGATTCTATTACGATTATACGCTTACTCCTGGCCTCACTCCCGGGAAACCAGCTTCACTGTGCGCTTTGCAGTAAAAGTTTTATAGTGTAGAGACTGCGGCGAGTGTAACCGCTAAGATTTTTAACAGATACACCAGTGGTCTCCAACATTTTTAACCACAAGATCACTTTTTCAATGTAAGTACAACATAAGATCTGCCTCAAATCCAAATACCCTGCTCCACCCCTTCTCTGAGGCCTCAGCGTGCTCACTCCACTCCCTTTTCTCCCCCATCCTCACTCACTTTCACCAGGCTGGGGTAGAGGGGTTGGGGAGCAGGCCAAAGGGTGTGAAGTGTGGGAGGGGCACCGGACTTAGCCCAAGGCAGGTGATTGGGGTCCATGAGGACTTTGAGTGCAAGCTGTGGGAAGGAGTTTGGGTACAGGGGGACACACATGTGGGGCAGGAGATTAGGTGTAGGAGGAGGTTCAGGGCTCGGACAGGGGTTCAGGAAGCAGGCTCTGGCAGGGCACCGTTTAACTGAGATACCTCCTGGGCGATGGAGTTAAGGCAGGCTTACCGCTACCCTGGCCTTGCACCACTTCTGAAAGCAGCTAGCATATACTGTAATGGCTCCACGGCACCATGTGCTGCCTTCATCTACAGGCACTGAGCCTACAGCTTCTACTGGCCACAGTTCCCCTTTATTGATCAGTGGGAGGTACAGGAGCAGAGTCTACAGGGAAAGACGGTATGTGGAGACCTCCTGCTCTGCTTTTCTCAGGGGCTGCAGGAGAATGCCAGTCATTTCCAGGAGCAGCAATTACCACAGGGATAATTACTCCTGCCATGACAGGTTAGGCATTTAAGAACTCATTACTCAAAGAATTAAATTTAAGTGTAAGAGAAATGAAAATTATGAAATGCACAGACAAGTCAAAAAACCAAAACTAACACACGTTGCAAGTAGTAACAACAGCAACCCAGATATGTGTTGGGTCAGGAGATGAGAGTGAAGGACAGCATGTGTTCGTGAGAATGACAGAGAAATACACAGTGTGTGTAAGTGACAGAGATTTGCATTGACAAGCTCCTTCCATCCCCTTCTCTGTGGAAATTGGGTCTAGGAGTGAGGGGAAGAGGGGCACCCTGACATCAGCACACACACCCCTCTCTCTCCCACACCCTGCACAGCAAGCAGGAGGTTCCCAAGGAGCAGCTCCAAGGCAGAGGACAGAAGCAGTGTGACAGTGGGTGGAGGGGCAGCTGAAGTGCCAGCGCTTGAAAGCTTCCTGGCCAAACCAGTCAGGCTCACCTGTCAAAGGCTCCGAACTACTCAGTCAGGCTCACCTGTCAAAGGCTCCGGAATCTACTAGTAGATCCCGAACTACTGGCTGATGACCACTAGGTTACAGTAACCATTTTTAACATCCCTACTCTGAAAAGTGGGAGAAGACTTCTGACACATGATGGACTAAAGGTAATGAAATACACTGGCCATGTAATATGAATACCAAGCACATCATACTTATGAGTTAGTACATCTTTGGTGTGCTAAAGACACTTCTTCCAAAAAGCTAAACTATTATTAAGCTAGAAAGAAAATCTTTTATATACAAACAAAACAGACAAAAGAAGTAT